CTGACACTGAAGCCTTTGCGTGGACATCAACAAAGGCCTTGCGATTGCAGGTGATGTTTCGGCACGTTGCCCAGGAGGCATTGAATTGTCGGAAGTGGCTCCCGAAGGCAGTTGTCTTGAAACTATATAATTTAGAGTTTGCCTACGTAAAAATTTTCTGTTGTTTGGGAACTTGGGAGATCTGATTTTTGAAGAATGTCCGGATAGAAATTCGAATTCATAATGACCATGTTTACAATGATGATGTTCTTAAAATAAAACATATTTTCACATCCACCCCTCAGGAGATGTGGACTGGCGCCGCCAAATCCATCAAGCACACATCAGCCGAAAAAAAACAAGCAGCCTCCCCTGAGACTAAAGATGAGGATAATGCAACAGAAGAGGCACATGCAAAGGAAGGAGCTGAGGAGGAAACACCCCGTGAAAGTGACCCGATCATAGATCCCGATGAGCATGAGCATGGGGGCAAACTTTTGAAACGGCCTTCCAGCAAGGATGTCAAGAAACGCCCTGCTACCAAGAGGAAAGCGCACAATCAAAGGGGAGCCCCACAAGACCAGAAGCCAGCACTGAAGAACCACCAGCAAAAAGACTTAGAAGGAAGCAGAGCACAAATCAGTTCGAAGCCGCCAAGGCCCCTGCAAGCACTCCTGTGAAGTTGATCCAGGTCAAAAGATCCAAATCTTCAACAAGCTTGGACAAGAATGCAGAGAACCTACAGCACATGCCCCATGCTTCAAATAAGAAAACGGCAGCAAAAACGAAGGCAGCAAAAGCAAAGGCAGCCCCCAAGGAAACATCCCGGGCAGCCCCGAAGCCAGTAGCTAAGCAAGCCCCACAACCAACCCCGCAGCAGCGCAGCGATGGTCTAGCTTCTTTTGATCTGATGGCAGAAACTTGATTTTCATCGAGAAACTTTATTTGTTCAGGTTCCTCTTTGAACCAGGTCTGCGTATAAGAATTTTTGGTTTCTATGTGTGGGGAAATCCAACTAAATAAGCTTCCCAACATTTTTCCCGTGATATATGCATGGCAAACATGTTAGGGACTAGGTCTAACATGGTTTTTATTACAAATGCATCCAAAGATTGAAAGACATTCAAAAATGTGTTGGTCGATCTGTGCACATAACAGTCATGGCAGCTCATGGATTTGAACAACATATGACTTGAGAATTGGATCTTATCTCATGTTCTAGCCAAGGATATGTATGGTCCGGGCCCTGAATTTGACTCGGTGACAGACCTTTTTCTGGGATTTGCACAGCCGATCCGATCTACCCCTGAACCAGTGCCAGCGCCATCGAGTGGCTTGCAATCTTCAGGAGGGCTTGAAAAGATTCTAGGTCCTTAGGTCCTTGCTGTTATTAAAACATTGTAAGATTTCATCTCAGCTTATTTGCTCTTGTATGTCGCCAAATGCGCTAAAGAACCCAAACATTGGATACCAAAGTTGGAAACCAATAACATATATCATGCAGGGATAGCCCGGCACAACACCAGTTCAATATTCCACACCAGGAGCCTTGCAGAGATTGACTTCCGATGCTTCACCTTCTGAACCTGCGGATGAGAAGAGGGAGCAACAGAATTCCGTTGGAACTCCTACTGTTGCAACTCCTACACCAGGGTTCGAAATGGGGTGGAGTGAGGAGCACCTTTGTGCTTGGAGGAAAGAAGTCAAGGGTCCTAAGTTACGAGGTCCTCTTGAGTTGTCTCAGAAGCCTACAGTTGATAAAACTGTCGATCCAGATTCTCCCGTTATCTGCACTTTCCATGATGGGGAAAAGTTCGAGGTAGCACATGTTACCATGGTTACTCGGATGGAACAACCCTTAGCTAGCACCTTCGCACTACCAAACTTTTTTTTTCCCAAAAGGCTATGACATTTGTTGCCACATGAAAGCCTTCCGAAATTAGCCATTGGGTAAATGTGATTTTTTCCATGATTAGATCTATTCAAGTATCCTTAGGGTCACCATGGCCCAGGCTGATTTGCAGGAGAAGCTCAAGAATGTGAAGCTTGCGACCCCGAAAGGTCCAGCCCAGAAGAATCCAAAAACGAAAGCAACTGTTCAATTGGAAGGGGAACAGGAGTATGAAAGTACCGATGTTGGTTTGGCAAGGGTGATGGTCAAACCTCAAAAGGGAAGGAGTACCATAGTTGTGCTTATGTTCAGAGCGTTAGAGGAAAAGAAGATTTCCCAGAAGCTTCAACTAGTTGTGAAAGATGACACCCTACCATTGGCCGAATGCCACACCATTATGAGACTCATTGCTCAAGAACTTGTTTTTGGCACTTTGGGCGTCCAGAATCTGAAAATTCGTCGGGATGAACTTCTTCTGAGCCACCACAAGGGCGCGCTGTCGAGCTACCTGGAATCTATGGTTGGAAAGGAGCCCCAAAATGGTATCACTATGCACCCCGATTTCATCGCTACCTTCAAAAGGAACCAGGAGTTGCAAGCTGCATTCATTGCCAGCCTTCTGGGAAACGATGAAAGTCGAGATGAACAACGGGCCTCAGAAGCTGCCAAAGGACCCAAGATCTGGGTTCGGTTGGGACAAATGCATATATAATATATAATATTTACCCCTCAGATATGCATATATAAATAGTAACTTATATATATATATTGACTTGTGTTTGTGCGGTTTCACCCCCGACTCAATTGAGATAAGCAAAGACAAAAAGAAATATTAAATACATGTCCGACCTTAGCGATTTGCGTGGCGTTTTGAGTTTTACGTGTGTTTGAATAAGAAACTTAATTTACAAAGGGACGAGCACAATGGATTTCCAAGTGGGAAAAAAGACCCTCATGATTTTTCGAAAAACCGGGCATGTCTTTTGGAGGTGTTCTGAATAAGAAACTTAATTTACAGAGGGACGAGCACAAACATCTATATTATATTAATTATTATTAATATATATATATATATATATCCACGTATCTACATATACATATACATACACATACACATACACGTACATATACATATACATATACATACACATACACATACATACATACATACATACACACATACATACATACCTACCTACCTACCTACCTACATACATACATACATACCTCTGTAAACATGTTTCACGGCAACAAAATGCCACATGTGAAAATATGATTGTTTGGGTAGTATAATAAATCCATTCCTGATTCTAAACCCATCTATTTACACTGATATGGGAATAGTCTGCCTTACATAGACACATTAAAGGCCTAATATCTGGAACTTCAAAAGGAGGTGCCCTTTTTTCTCCTATAGGGGACACTTTTGGGAACCCAAAATGGGCACCTAATTTTTGAGACATACCCATCTTGTTGAAGCCCCTTTTGGGCCAAACAATCCCAATGGCCATTTAGCTGTTGGCAAAGCCGTGATGTAAAATATATATGATTTTTTCATGCCTATATTCCAACCCGCCCCTTGTACATCTACCGTCCCCAAAACAGGAACCCTTTTTCTTTATCTTCCAATTGTTCTTTTAAAGAATTCGCAAAATCCAATACGGGGTTTAAATCTATGGAGCCATCAATTCAAGTCCCCGTTGTGGGTCATAGCGTCCCCCAATTATTTATGTTGTTGGTTTTTAATACGACTTCTGTGCGATAGCTTCAACCAATATTCCCAACAAAGGTGGGGCCCCAAACCCCACTTGGGGAAACCAACGCAGACCCACTGCCGCACCCAGGAGATTAAGAACCCGGAGCCACCAAAGTCAAGCCTCAGAATGCGAGGCAATTTTTCAACCCGAGCTGAATGAAGTTCAGGGCAGGTCAGATGAGGTTCACAATTTCGAAAAGGGCCAAACAGAGTTTTCAAACAATATCAGTATATGCATCCACAAATTTAATTTAGGCTGTAGTACCTCGGGATCCCCCAATACAAATCTATGTCTATAAAATCTTGTGCTCATATAGCCTATTGAACCTCCAGACTGTAAAGATCCTTGAATAGACATCCGGGATTGGCAACGAAATCCAGTTGCCATTTGGAAGCTAAAAGAATACGCCGTGAGAGTATGAAGGGGTGCTGAAGCTGAATCCTTTGGGAAACCAACTTTCATATATATATATATATTTATTTATAACAAATTTGGATTCAGCAACCCTTCAAAGTTTCAGGGTTGATTCCGGGAAGGTTTGAGCGTCCACCAGAAATGTGGCTATTCAAAACCAAGACCAAAACGGTTCTATTTTGGATTTTTTTTTGAAGCAAAAAAGGCTCCAAAACGGGACCACTATAAGATGCAAGATGAACAAAAAATTGTTTTTTGGATTCAGTGAGACCACTTTGAATTTCAATCCGTGTTTGGCCCAAATGTAGGATATTGGATATTTCCAAAACAATTTACTGAGCATGAGCCAAGTTTGCAAATGAAGCTTCCCAACACATAAATATGTCGAGTAATTATTCCGAAACAGTTTCAGATCATGCAATATCCATTTTGATTTCACAGGATGTTTGGAGATGTTTTCTTTGGAGGGTCTATGGTTAGCACATGCTGGAACTATGAAATAAGATTGTTAAGATGCAGGAGGTTTACCAGTTCCCATGAAAATTTATGAAATTGTATGAAATGGGCTAAAACCTTTAAAATTCAACCGAAATTTGTAGCGATGAGGGTGCGATGAGCCACCCCCCACAGGAACCCCGATGAGCCACCGATGAGGGTATCTTTTTAAAGATGTTGGGATACTTAGCCAAAAGGCAAACTAGGCGATGAGGTACCGATGAGCCCCTTAAAACAATGGTTCATGACAGCGATGAGGGGGTACATGACTTTTTGCGATGAGCCCCCGATGAGGGTTAAGGAAAATCTGCCCTTCTCAATTTAAATCAATAGTAAAACTACCGATGAGCCTGCGATGAGGTCCCAAATCACTAGCGATGAGGGTACCATTGCATTTTAGCCCGCGTCAAAACTGCAAGGATTTTGGCTGTGTTGGGAAAATACCAATTGTAGTGCCGCTTCTCATGGCGGATGTGCCCATGGCTGGGAACCCTGACAACATGGACACGCTTGTAGATGACGAGACTGTTCCTGGCGAGCCAGCTTTCTTGCAGGATCAGGCTGGGGGTGGTAACAAATACAAGCTTTATCTTGAAACAGTACACATTTTAAAGTGCACGATGGGATTATATGGGATTATATGGGGTTAGATGGGATTATATGGGAATTAAATAGTACCCAGCTATATATGGTGGAAACCCTTTAGCTCGCTTGGGCATCAGGATGTTCAACAAGACCCACAAGGCGCAGAAGGTGATCGTCCGCAACCTTCCCAACAAGTTGGCCAACAAGGACATGGTGATGATGGTGAACATGTGGGTGGTGAGATGGCTGAAGCTACCAGTGCGCCATCAAAGGCATCTCCACCAAGTCTCGAAAGGGCAAAGGAGCAGTATGCTCAGGTGCATGGCATGGATCCTAGTGCTGTTACTGAGGAGCTGCCCGCAAAATCTGATGAAGGTGTTGAAGGGTGGGCTTGTCGCGGCCTAGATTGCAGAGCACATGGGCCGTTGGGGAACGCCTTGTACAGGGCATTTCGCAAAAACCCAACCATGGCCAAAACATACCGCTGGTTGTTCGACGACCTCAAGGTCAAGTTCAGGCAGACTTGGGCAATGTCAAGAAGTTTTGATTTCGTCAGCACCAAGCGGGTCCATTCCGTATCCACTACCACCAAGCACGAAGAGATTGGCACTTGGAAGAATCAGTTGCAACTGGAGGCTCACTTTGGGGGAGTAGGGATCGCAGAGGCCGAAAGGCAGGCGAAGAATTACATCCGAAACTGCCAGCAGTTCGAGGAGCGGTTGTCCAACATATAAGGCTGTTGTTTTGTAAAAATCAAAACCACTTTTTTGAAACACCCCTTCCCCTCCTCTCTTAACAGCTCATCCCGTTCAGGAGGCATTTGTCCGGTGGAACTCCTGGACGGAAGCCCACAACTACTTGCTTGTGGAAAAGCTGGTGACCAAAGGCGAGGAGGAGTCATGGAAGGAGATGGCGATCATGGTGGACTCATCAGCGACCTTTGAGACCGAAGCGATGAAATGTCAAGCTGTGAGGAAATACGCTGCTTACTACAAGATGCCGGTGGAGGAGGTCAAAACGGAAGCAGTGGTGAATGATTCATGGGGTGTCCGTGGATGGTGTGAGATGAACATCACCGTTCCAGGCATCAATGACAAAGATGGGAAGGAGAACCAACAAGTAGAGGTGCAACCTGCAGCCAAGAAAGCATCGGCCAAAAAGAAAAAACAGGTTCCAGCCCCAGAGCAAGGTGAATCAGTTGGTGATGCAAATGGTCCCCAGCCCGCTCAGCCCAAGCCGAAAGATCCCAAGCCGAAGAAGGCCAAGAAGGAGTTGACCGAGCTCCAGAAGAATGAGACCACTTCGAAGGCTATGTTGGCACAGCTGCAGCGTTCGCAGCAAATCATGTCCAAGGTTTCCGGCCATGGGGATCAAATTCCCAGTGAGTGGAAGTGGGCGCTTCCTTTTCTTCAAGAATATGAGGCCCTTCTCACTGCATTTACTGAGTCGCTTGCACCAAGGGATGGTGATGACATCAAGGATTTCGATGATGAGATGAAATTGAGTACCCTCGACAAGACGAAGACAAAGCAGTTCAAGAATACCTACAAGGACCGCTATGGCACACTGCTTGCACTCTTCGTTGACCGCTCCTCTTCTCTTGCTGCTCAGAAACTTCCATCAATGAAATTAGATATATTTTTTTCCCATGTGTAAGCTTTTGTAATTTACCCTGCAGTGCGAAAGGGGTTGAAAAGCGCGACTTTTTCGTGCCCAAAAAGGGTCCCAAGAAAGAGAAAAAAGTCGCGCCCTAAAAATTCCAAACCCAAGCGTAATTTTTATTGTTACAGTTTTGCTATCTGTCCCCCCCGGCTACTATCGGCTACTAAGGATGGATGCATTGGCTGACAAAGTGCACAGCATGGCCCAGGCCAGCGCAGGTGGTTTCACAGGGGCCCCAAAAAAGCGGGCACGCAAAGCTTAGATTTTTCACCTTCTGTCTACCAACTGACCGGCAAGCACCTGTGAATGTTTAGTTTGCATATGTTCATCTAACATGTCCCCCCTGGGGATCGAGCATTGGGGATACAGGTGAAGTTGGCTTCAGTTCAATCTTGACTCCAATGGTGAAAAGTACCAAGCACAAAATCAGGGGAAACAATCGACGTAGAATGGGGTGTTGACGCATGAGCTATCAAAGTCTACTTATGAATTTGCACTCTCAAATGGGGCTATGTTGATTCAAATCCATTACCCATCATTTTTTGATGTCTGTATTGATCTTCACCACTAGCTTTTGGTATGTTCAAGCGAGCCCGCGTGTGTAGTCGTGGGGATGGTGATGGAGATGAAACAACTGTGACGGAAAATCAGAAACAATTTGGGTCCCAACTTAGAGAATTCTTGTTGGACAAGTATTGTTTAGAGGGCCTTACTGGTGCCGATGTGGCTTCAATCTGTTTTCTCGCCACCCAAGCTGGCGCCTTTGGGGTGGCAGATCTTGCGCTTCATCCGAGCCTGGCAGCCAAGCACGGCAATGAGCACGTGAAGCTGCATGCAGGTAAGATTTGGCCAGACTTGGACCTTCAATATGTTGACTGCCCTGTCTATGTGAAACGGGAATCCAGGAGAAGCAACATCGAAATTCCAGTCTATTTGCCGTCCACTGCACTTGACCACTACATCACTGAAGACATGCTCGATGTCAAGTCGAACAAGAACAAAGCTACGCAGTTGCAGGGGTAGACAATTATGATGCACATCCAGTTGTTTGCAAAGCTAAAAGTGAAGGCTTTGAACATGTTGTTCGCCCTGTGGCACTTTACTGGGATGGGGTGGCCTACACAAAGCATGATTCGTTCATGGGGTTCTATGTCACTGATATCCTGTCGTCGCAAAAATTCTTGTCCTTCTTGATTCGCATCTTTGCCTAAAATCATCCAAACTATTGGTGGGTTTTTTACCCTTAGACTTTTTGCCCCTGGGTCATTTCGCCCAGATTGATCCTGCCTTCCCATACCAAGGTAGCGATGAGATGTGCCAATGTGGCTGTCGTGGATGGTGCACCTTATTTCCGCTCTTGCTGGCGTGGGTGGAAGATTTGAAAGCGATGGAAAGTGGGTCGAAAATCAGGGTGGCTGTGTTAGATATTCAGGGTGATTGGCCTGCATTTTTGCAGGTGTTTGGCTTACGCTATTGGTCCCACAATGACCACCCCTGTCCACTATGCCGGATCAATCAAACCCAACTTGGAGAGGACAGCTTGAACGAAACAACCCTGGATTCTCCGCCCTTTCAAGATTACACCACTGATGACTACAACAAAGATGTTCAGGAAAGTGTGAAAGTTCCCTGGATAAAATGATTTTCTCAAAGCTGTCAAATGGCATTTTCCCCGAACTATGTTTTTCCAACATGGCACAAAATGTTGACTGAGTCATGTGCCGTGCCCAGGTTGTCGAGATCACAGACCTGCAAACCCAGAAGGAGATCTTTCGGCATCTGGTATACAAAGAAAAGCGGAGGGGACGAGTGTTGTCCAAAAGTTTTCCAGCTCTTGGGCTACCAAAATTTGCCCGCTTGATGCCAACACGTACCATGACTGATGTTGCAAAGTTTGAGCACACAACAATTCCATTCTCAAGTTCTTGGTGGGTGGCTTCCCCGGATGCGCGCGTGGTCCATGACTGTCCCCTTACCACTCTGTCAGGGGTTGGATTGGACATGTGGTCACTTGATTTGATGCATGCATGGCATTTGGGGCCTATGCAACAATTCGTATCCCTTGCGATGAACCATTGTTTGGATAGTGGATTGTGGGCCCCTGACACCGCTCTGGATGTGGTCGACCGGAAAAGGATCAGTCTCTTATCGATCAAAACTGAACTCTTTAGCTGGTACAAGTCCCAACGTTTAGACCCTGACTGGCGTGGAAAGGGCTCTGAAGAATCTTCCCATTATGATTGAGTAAAATGTTGAATTTTTAACCCCCCCTTTGACTATCAAATAGATGAGACAAACCTGTTTTAAATTTTGTATCTTCCACATCGCCCAGGTGTGGAATCTTACCTTGGGAATGCTCGGCACCACAGACCGTCCACAACTCCACGCGAAGGCAGCAGAGTCGCATGGCCTCTTGAAGTTCATGGCGTGTCTTCTCAATTCCCACCTTGGCCGTTTTCGGGTGAAGAGTCATACAGGAAAGCAAGGTTTCTCAAAGAAGCTGCAGATGCAGCAGTTCGTTTTGATGAAGTGTTTCAAACGCAACACCGAAGACTGAACAGGTCTGAGTTGCAAAGGGCTTTCAACTCATACATTCGGTTTTTGTCTTTTTACAGGAAATCTGGAGGCCCTTTACTTCCCAAGTGTCATTTCATGATCCATTTGGTTCAACGTGCCCGGTTCAAAGGGAACCCCAAAATGTATTCAACCTACCGGGATGAATCGTTCAATGGTTTGATAGCGAAGATTGCAAGAAGCTGTCATAGGCGAACATGGGCCAACGCAGTCCATTGGAAATGCCATGCGCTTCACCAAAAAAATCACACAAAGGTGATCAATTCGAACTTTTTCAACAAACCAAAGCCGGAGGGGAAACGGTAAAATCAGTGCTGAACTCTTTTGCCTGGAGATGTATTCCTACATAGGTGCCAGTCAATGACAATTGAATCCAAAAAACATTAATACTTAACATGGCAGCATGTCAGCAAGCCACCTATGGGGCCTACTGCAGGGTTCATTTCAGGACCAAATTTGAAACCCCGTCCCTTGGCTGCTTGGGACCCGAACGTCCATGGCTTATGATGGTGTCCATATCCGAAAGGCCAACCCAGCGGATGCGTTTTTTGATGCCTCTGTTAATGGGAAAAAAAATCATGATTTTGTGCAGAATTTTGATGCCGACAAGTCCAAACAGCGGGTGCTAGAATCTATGGATATCTTCGGTGGTGAAGGAAATTTCCGAAAGTGTTGTGAAAAAATTGGAGTGTCATGCAAAGGGATTGACATCCTCTATGACAATGTGATGCACAATTTTGTGACCGAAACTGGTTTTTTCTTCATCTTGACCATGATGTTGACTGTGGTATCTGGGACTGGTTTAGAATCTTTTTTTTGGGGTGGTAGGTATTAGGTATTGTAGGTCCCCCTGCATGCAACTTGCTGTTGATTGCCACTGTGTCCATCTAAGGTGGAGTTTGGGTGGCTACTATGTTGGCCTCCATGTCACCTGTATGTGTTCATGTCTTCGTCCTACCACTGCCGATCTATCGATTTCCCCTACGGGGACCAAACCAAGTATGCAGTGCAGCGAGCGAACCAGATCGTCATCAACCTGCTGGCTATGTTATGCATAGCACATTCCCGAAAAGTCTTTTTTCTGCTCCTAGTGAAATTTGGTGACGTTTTCATTTTTCTCAAAAAATGGGATTGTCCTGTTCTCTAATTTTTTGTTTGGAAATTCCCCCAAGTCTATACGAGTGAGGCTGGAACAACCGGGATCCTCTATGATGTGGCTTTTGCCAGAGATGTATGAATTTATTATCGCTACCTGCAGCCAGCGAGTTCACAGCTGGATGAAATGTTTTGGGCATGAACTTCCGAAGCCATCAGTCTTTGTCAGCAACGTCACTTATGAGTGTTTGCAATTCCTGGAACGCAAATGGAGCAAAAAAATGGAGAAGCGTGTCCAACGAACCCTGGTATATCAATAACATTATGTCAGTTTTGGAAAACTTCAACTTGGTTAGAACCAATTATGTGTCCAAGTTTTGTTTTTTCCACAAGAGTACCCTTTAAAATTGGGATATATTTTCTTAGGTTTGTTAACCGGCCCCAGGACTACTTACCAACGTACTCTTTCGTTCCAAGATCTTGCAGAAAATGTGGACGTACAAGGAGATTTACTTCAGAACAGCTTTGAAATTCCACTGGATCAACAAGATGAAGATCCAAAAGCACCTTAAGGGCTGCTACAAAATCCATCGCAGCAAATCTATGAACCGCAAGTTCGTCAGTGGGGGCCCAAAACTCAAATCTTCTGGCATTTACACTGAACAGCTGTCGTGGAAGTATGGGACATGGTGTATTCGCGTAAGATAGAAGGTTTTGCTGGAGAATACAGACTTGCGGTGCCCTACACCAGACTATGGAGCAAAATTTTTGGCCAAATCATGGTGGATGAGGACTAGGGTTCCAATCCTAAAGCGTGTTTTTTAAATGCGTTCAACCGTGCTTTCGAATTTTTCAAATCCTAAATGGTGGTTGGGTTTAAGTGCCCTGCTCAGGATGATGGCAAACTTCTCACAGCCATAGCTGCGACGCGCAAACGCGTGTCTGAAGCAATCGCAGCGCTGAGCTGAAACAATTTGGGAAAAACTGTTCGTGTTGCGTGTTTTTGCAGTGGCAAAACCTAACGCGAGAACCATTTTGGTTTATAGTTTTATTTTGTACACATATATAATATATAGAGATATGTAGATATATAAGATAGAATAGTGTACACGCACCTTTTTCTAATACTACACCTGTACAACGCATGTTGTGAGCCCGCATGCGCTAGTATATAGGCCCAAGTCACGATCAAATTGCTCCAAAGAAGTGACCAAGTGAGACCAATGGGATAAAAGAGGTGCACCTGAAGTGATGCCAAAACAGTGGACGATCCAAAAAATAGATCTAGTAAATCCATTTTTTTCGAAACACAGGCGATCCATTTTTTGGATCTGAGCAGGGCTTGGGGATTCCGATAATTGCGTGGCCAGGGACGCGATGGTTGGTAATCGTGCTTGGTCACCAGAAGGCGAAGCATTCTCCATGAAATTGTCCCGGAAAGGGTTGTTGCCATGATGTAAGGGAAGTTCAAAATGATGGCGCCAATAATCAGCCGTTAGCTTCGACCACTCCCAATGTCCCGAAAGGCCATAAAAGAATTGTTCCGGATCTCGAGTTCTGGAAATTCCTGTGGTTGGTATCTCTTCAATGAATAGCTCCCGCTCATTGCTGGAGTGGGTAAAAATCTTGAAGTGAATCTGATGAACAACCCGTTCAGTGAAGCGTCCTGGCCGGTGAGGAGCTGGATGAAGATGTTCAGGTGCCGGAAAAGGAGCAGCAGGATGAGGATCAGCAGTGTACATCCCGGAAGGCGTCAAAGTTTCAGGGCCAGTCATGGGAGCAGTCAAGGTTCCGGAGGGTGGCGATGTCGGATCCAAAGGAGGTGCCACACTGTTCGGGTCGTCAGGTATCGGTGGGTTCTGGGAATTTCGCAAAGCATTCGCAGGCCATGCCAAACCCGCAGAAGTTGTATCCCGTTTGTTCTCCATGGGACTGGCCGCAATTGCAACTGAATGTGAATGTCGAGCAAAAGCTAACGGAAAGATCAGAATACCACGAGCATGAACAGCAGGCAGAGATTATGATAGCAAAGGTGACAACGGAGTAGAATAAGAATCTCAAAGAATTCCATCAGGATCAAAATGGGAAAGGATTTCACATTTCGTGCCGTCTCGTTGGCACTGCCCCGCGCCTTCAAGAGAGAAATAGAAAAGAAGGAGAGAGCAAGAGGGCAAGAGAGCAAGAGGGCAAGAGAGAATGTGAAGATGAGAAGATGTGAAGATGTGAAGATGTGAGGATGTGAAGATGTGAGGATGTGAAGATGTGAAGGTGAGAAGCTGTGAAGATGAGAGGATGTGAAGATGTGATGTGAAGATAAGAAGATGTGAAGATGAGAAGATGTGAAGATGTGAGGATGTGAAGATGTGAGGATCTGAGGATGTGAAGATGTGAAGATGAGAAGATGTGAAGATGTGAGGATGTGAAGATGTGATGTGAAGATGTGAAGATGAGAAGATGTGAAGATGTGAGGATGTGAAGATGTGAGGATCTGAGGATATGAACATGTGAAGATGTGAAGATGAGAAGATGTGAAGATGTGAGGATGTGAAGATGTGAAGATGAGAAGATGTGAAGATGTGAGGATGTGAAGATGTGAGGATCTGAGGATGTGAAGATGTGAAGATGAGAAGATGTGAAGATGTGAGGATGTGAAGATGTGATGATGAGAAGATGAAGATGTGAAGATGAGCAGATGTGAAGATGAGAAGATGTGAGGATGTGAGGATGTGAAGATGTGAAGCTGAGAAGATGAAGATGTGAAGATGAGCAGATGTGATATGAAGATGTGAAGATGTGAAAATGTTTGACAGACCCCCACTATTAGAAGAACCCTTCGCTCAGACGCTCTCGGGAAAAAACATGAGTTCTGTCATGAAAACGGTGGAATGTAGGGCCACCATCGCCACCTAATTGTGTCAAAAACTTGTGGTCGGTAGCACACATTGCAAAGCACCAGTGACACGAATGCGTGGCGCGCTCTCAGGTGGGGGCTTTCCAGACTTGGAAGCTGCTGCGATTCCCAAATCATAAATTTCGAATTTTCGTCCCCACCCAACCCCTAAGCACTGACGTTGCAGCAGCGAAGCATCCACGTGTGTACGCAAGGCACATGAACGTCAATATCCCACCCCACGCCACCCAACCCCTAAGCACTGACGTAGCAACAGCGAAGCATCCACGTGTGTACGCAAGGCACATAACGTTAATCTCCCACCCCACCCCTAAGCACTGACATAGCAGCAGCGAAGCATCCACGTGTGCACGCAAGGCACATGAACGTTAATATCCCACCGCACCCCACCCCATCCCACCCAACCCCCATATTCGGTTTTCCACCCGCTAGCTAAACCAAGTTCTACAAAATCATCGACCTCTTGGAAGCGGTTGAAAAGCAGCATCGTGCGGTGATTTTTGGGCACGCCCTGCCCCCCCTGGTGAAGACCAGGGGGTCTTTTCCACCTGGTGAAGACCAGAGGATTGACAACATGAAAAATATGAAAAAAAAGTGAGGGGTAAGACCACCATCACTGGAAAAAACAACATGACATGTTCATGGTTAGCCTGCATGTCGATTTTGCCCAAACAGTGCTGAGATCAAGGTTTCGGTCGTGACACTGTAACATGACACGCTTGTCACGTTATGATGATGGTTTTGATTTTTATTATCATCACTTTTTATTGTTGTTCACTTATTTCTTTATTATTCTTCTTTCTTTCTGTCATGGTGATGGTTATCACATGTTAGTGAAACGAATTAAATCAAACTAAATTGAATCATGTTCAAGTATCGTCATTGTCATCCCCAAATTTACCTTCCCCACACTGGTTAAGTTTAAAGCCTCATTATGCTTGGGTGGCACAACCCATAGCGTCCAGTCATCCAGTCAT